GAGGCCATCGCTCCATTAGGTTGGAGGCCATCGCTTAAGTTGGAGGGCATCGCAAGTAGGTTGGAGGCCATCGCTTCTAGGTTGGAGGCCATCGCTCCATTAGGTTGGAGGCCATCGCTTCCGCCGTTGCTTTCATTCTTTTTTTTGGCTTCCCATACGGTCACTGGAACTCATTGCACTGGTCTTGTATCATTTTGTCTTCATTAGGCTGTAGCTGTTGCTTCCTTCCTGCCTGAGAGTGATCAAAAGCAATCTTCTACGCCTTTTGTCAAGCCTTACTAGTGGCGCAAGGATGCATGTGTCTTTTTTTTGAGTGTCAATTTTCCTTCATTTCTGTTGTGTCCTTGGTGTCCTTTTGTTCTTCATTTCTTCCTTCACTAGGTGTGGCATGCGCACAGTCCTCATGGACGTCACCATACCAGCGATTCGGGCCGTCCGGTCGGTCGAGCATTGCACCGGTGCCAGGCTTCGTGCTGCCGGATTTCTCAGAGACCTACACCTTCTATGTCAATGCGGATGACTCTGCCAGGTGCAGCGCTGCACATTATGTTGCACAGTGTGGTGCACATATTGCGCCTCAAAGTGCATAAGAGCAATCCCGCTACTAGGAGCAAAGGACGCTACTAGGGGCTCCTGGCCTTACTACTAGGAGCAAGGACGCTACTAGGCGCTCCTGGCCTTACTACTAGGACTAGGAGCAAGGACGCTACTAGGCGCTCCTGGCCTTACTACTAGGAACAAGAAGCTGTTAGAGTGTGTTGCACAAGAGAAAGAACTTCTTTCCAGGCTCTGGGTGAACGGAGTCCTGCTTTTCGACAAGTGGGACGAGTGCTGCCAGGAGCTCCCAATTAGAGTAAAGCGACCCGATCAGTCTAAAAACTATTTTCATTGTATACACATAACTATACATCTATAGGTGTTGTCAAAAAATGTGGAAGATCTTCTCCTGTATGTTTGTTTGAGTTGAACAGCTGCGCTCACAGGAATTCTGGGGAAACATTGCGCTCACAGCTGGTGAATTGGCCTCTATCCGCTTAGAGTTCAGAGAGGCCACGGCGGGCTGCAACGGCCGTTTCAGCGTTGACACCGGGTTCGTGGGTTTCAACAACGTGTTCCGAATTTCTTCTTTAGTTTAATTCTGTACTCTATTGGATCCTTCCACCTTCCCAAGCCTCGGCAGTTGAATCAAGTCGAGAGTCAGAGTGAGCAATTGACCAGAGTTGAGTGACACAACTGTGCAGCTCTGCTGACCAACACGAGTGCCTTGGTTCAACGCGCCCACACGACGCGTTCATCGCCGTGCCAGTTTCGATGCGTCGACGTGGAGGGCCGACTCGACGGGCGCACCGGAGGTGGCTGGAAATGCGACGCTGAGCTTGGAATGGGCATCGTTCTCGACGTCTCGAGGCGCTCCGAAACAGCGGCCCCGGAACGAGGGTGGTTTTTGGGTCTTTCTGTCTTTTTTGAGGCTTCATCAATCCTGGCCAACTCTTCAAAGGGCCCATTATCAATGGCGCGCCTGTTCTCTTGGAGGCAAGGCACAGTCACAAGAAGAACATGCTCAAGGTCAAATGAAAGGCTCATTTCGCATCGTGCATCGTGCAGGTGGCCACCGGCACCGTAAATGCAGACAACAGTGTGGCGTATGGTGAGTATCTCACCGGCGCAAGGTGCCTTGAGAAAAGACCTCAGTGGAAACACAGAGCGCTCAGAGTTTTGCTTTAGCAACCCATCTACCCAACACTCAGATGCTGGACACTCAGGTCGCGTGCATTCTACATCCAGGCAAAAGACTCTGCCACTCAGCCGGTTTGAGAGCCGCTTTTTGAAGAATGAATATTGTGTGGAGCATGGCAAGCCAGAATTCTACCAAGGCAGACAACTTGTTGAAGAGCAACCAGGAGGTCTTTCAGGTGCAAACGAGAAAGTGAAGAGAGAATGTGTACTTTGCATGAATAAAGATAACTTTGCAAGAATGAGAGTTGGAGGCCGTCGCTAGTAGATTGGAGGCCATTGCTATGTACTTAGCTTATCCCTACTTATCCCCAAGAATCCAAATAAAGCACCAAACACATGCATGGAGCCTATGGAGCCTCCCTCAGAGACCGTGCGGCTTTCGGATGTCCACACGAAAACGTCTTTCTCAGGTGACCTTCAATGGTCCGGCGGTGACCTTCACTGTGGTCTCATCACCTGCTCCTTGGCACAAGTTGTAGAGGAAGAAAAGGAAGGTAAGGCTGGTAAGGGTTGGCATGAGAGAGACCCAAACACCTTCCTGTTTCTCACCCCTTTTTCTTTGTTTTAAGTTCCTTCTTTTTAACACACATATTTTTTCATGTCTTCTTAGCGATGTGGTATGCTTATGAATCGTTTCGACACGGTTTGATGTTTTCTTTACATGCAAAAAAAACGATCCTAGGATCTTTTGAACAGTTATATACGTTTGATGGCTTTGACATGGTTTTGACATGAGGTGAATCCAGATGCCATGGATGGGCTCTACAAAGTCGAGTGACTCTGCTGCTGCTTCGGCTGCTTGTGAAAGTGCTGGCACGTGGCCGGCAGGTATCTTGTGAATGTGGCCGGCACCTACCAGGTGACCGCATCATTGAATGGCCGACAGATCAAGGACCGGTGGTATATCTCAGACGAACGAAGACAGAGAACAAAGGTCTGAAGAAAGGGAAGAAGAAAGGTCTGAAGAAAGGACAGAGAGGAAGGAAGAGAAAAAGAACGAGTGTTACACCGACAGGGTGGTCTCAAGGTCTCCATTGAAGGGCACCCTTTCCACTGATCTGTGCACCTTTGCGTGAAGCAAATGGAAAAGGAGATATCTAGCTACGTTCGTAGCTTCTTGTTACTAGTAGTAACAAGTGCCTTACTAGTAGTAACAAAAAGCTAGTAGAAACAATAAGCTAATAGCTTCTTGTTACTAGTAGTAATGGCCTCCAACCTACTTGCGATGGCCTCCACCCAATAGCATCCTAATACTGGGGAAGGCAACCTCTTTCTTCGTTGTGGCAGGATAGCCCTTTCGACTTCATTGCGCGCCTCAAACTTAGTGAGATTAAAGATGATCTGTTATCAAGAAACACTATGTTTTCTTGATTCTTGAAAGGCTTTTCTCCTTGAGACATGCGTGAAGAACTATTTTTTGCTTTCTTTTTGCATGCTTTTGCATGCTTTCAGGACCGGGGCAAGTCTCATCTGCACATTCAACTGTGAGCGGCCTCGCCACTGGCCACATCAAGTGTTGTTCATGGAGCCCATGACCACTCCGAAACTGCATTTCATGCTAAAAAGAAGGCGGTTCAACATCTTATTGTTTGTTTTTTATTGTTCTTTCCGGACATGCACTATGTGCACTATGTTCTTCTTTTCATTTCATTTCTTTTGACCTTTGGACCTTCAAATCTTTCATTTCCTTTTTCTTTTTTCCTTCTTTCCAGCTACCAGACTCGATGTCCCCTCCATCACTCAGGGAGCCATTGAGTTCATTGCCGGTACAGAAGCGACCTTCATCGTCCAAGCCAGAGACGCCTATGGCAACGCACTGGATGAGCAGGTGCTCGGCGTTTCCGCGGCGTTTCCGCGTGCATCGCATCGATGCGACAGGTTGGAGAAGTGACCGCATCCATCGAGTGGGAAGCATACAACACACTCACCGTCGATGCCCAAGAGCGTCGAGTTTGTTCGACAAAAAACAGAAAGCTGTTTTTCCTTTTTTTTTTAAATTGAATTGTCAGCTTTGCAAGGAATCATAAGGCCATGGAAACCGATCTTTTTGTCTTCTCAGACGATGAACGTCTTGGATGACACGCCGCTGAACAATGCTGAGTTCGGTCGGCCAGGGAGCTTGGCAAGTTGTGAAAAGCGGTGGAACGGCGATGGACCTAGTAGCGATGGCCTCCAACCTACTAGCGATGGAACCAATGAGACCGGAACCAAAACACTTCCAGCCTGCTCCGCTGCTCCGCTCCGGCAGATATTTCTACGGTACTTCCACCTACATCGGCTTTGGGCAGTTTGGAGCTCAGAACCGCAGAACCGAAGAAGGCCATTGGAAATAGCCCGCTCCTACTTACTTAAGTAAGGGAGACGTTCGCTCCTAGCTACTGCATATGGAAGTAGAAAATGGTGCTCGTACTGTTCATGTGGTTCCTAGATCTTTAGGGACACTTACTTGAGCACTGACGGCGCTGCGGCGAGCCTTCGCGTGGGAAGAACGCTTTGTGTCTCGAGGTATGAGATCAAGTATACCGCTTTGCGAGAAGGGTCCCACAAACTTTTTGTGAAGGCCTGGTCTTGTGGGGCCACTTCATGCATCTTCATCGTTTCGACTCACAAGACGAAGACTATGGGGGCACCAAAGTGCTTAGTGCAGTGCTTTTACATTTCTTTGTTCGTTTGTACACGATTTTTGTGCACGCTTTCTGCACGCTGCAGATCAACGGTGGCAACGTCTACAACTCGCCCTTCAACTTGCGTGGCGATCCCGCTGCGGCTGCCTATGGGGCGAAGAGCCTGGCAGAAAGCACCATGCCGCCCTCCACGGTGGGAAACACAAAGCACTGAATGAAAAGAACAAAGAAAGAAAGAACACCATAAAGACAGAAAGGTCTAAAGGTCTAAAGAAAAAGAGGAAAGGAAGCTATAAGTAGTAAGTAGCTTCTTGTTACTAGTAGTAAGGCACTTGTTACTACTAGCTTCTTGTTACTAGTAGTAAGGCACCTGTTACTAGTAGCGTGGCACTTGTTACTACTCATATATTACATATCATACCTCTCGACCTCTCGATCTCGACCGATCGCGGGCAGGTTGTGGCGGGCGATGAGATCACTTTTCAAGTGCAGCTCCGCGACGCTTACGGAAACATCCTGCCGCGTGGCTTAGAAGATAGACCAGAAGAACAGTCAAGACCCAAGACCAAGAGGAGACGGCAACAGAAGCAACAATGAGTGATGAGTTAGTTTTCTTTCATTTTCTTTCCGTGGTGGAACTTTCTCTTTTTCTTCCTTTCTTTGGTCCTTGGGTCTGGCATTTTCGATAGGTACCCTTAGTTTGCGGATGTCTTTTTTCCAGAACGCTTCATGCAGCATGCTTCTTTGATGCTTGTTTTCAATCAATTTTGAAGAGCTTTTTCAGGGCATCGTCCCCTGCTGGAGCGATCACCATCCGCGTGAGCTCACTACCGCCAGTAAGCCAGGCAGGAAAGTGGATAAAGCGGAAAGCGCTGTGAAAACCATTAATAGCGATGGCACCCTATGAGGACGGAACAACTTCAAGTTTTTTTTGCATTCCGTTGATGGTCGTTTCCACACTTGATTCAATCCTTGACGATGAAGCTCGTTTCTTGGCCCGCAGGTGGATGATGGTGTTCGATGCTGAGTATCAAGTTCAGATGTTGGGCTTTTGCTTTTGCTTTCTGGCAGGTTGGAGGCCATCGCGTTCGTAGGTCGCCGTGCTGTCGAATCTCCAAGGTTTGCAGCCCAGCGACCAGTGGTAGCACAGGGCTTTACGAATGTCGCGTCACCCCCACGGTGAGCGGAGATCGCTTGCTGCCAGCTGCTCAAGAGGATGTGCATTCGAAGATTCTGGAGAGTCGCACACATTGATCACATGAAAAGACCGCTTGAGCTTTTATCATAGAGTTTCTATTGATTCTGTATGGTTCTCATTCGTACTTCCTGTTAGGTCTGTGCAAGTTGGTGGTGTGGAGATCTCCAAGCTTGAGATGGAACAAGTGCTCTCGCCGAGCCGGCACTGGCTGAAACGACTCCGACGAGCCGACGAGCTGACGGGGTCTGGCCAGGCAACTCAACATGACACAGGGGCCCTTTGCGCTCTTTGTGGCACCAGCAGCAGCCAGGAACACAGAACAACGGAGTTGTTAGAAAGCAGTAGGACTGCTTCATTTCCCTAGTCTAGGAACTATTTCGACAGTTCAAAGAGTTCTTCAAGAAAGCTTCTCTCACCGTAAAGTGGGATAGTTTTCCTTGAAGAATTCATTCCTTTTGCATCCTTGCATCTAGAAAAACATGCTCACGAGTCTGTTCGCTCCTCAAGATGCGACCTACCTGGGCCTACTTTACACTCCCTTGCTCCAACCTAGCAATGGCCTCCAACCTAGGCCTCCAACCTACTAGCTACACGGCCCCTGCAAAAGAGACCGTTTTCTTTCTTTTTTTGCTTTCAGGTTTCTCCAGCCAACACCGCCGTCTACAATGTCCAGTCCAGTGAGGGCTCCCAACTCTCGAAAAACACTCTGTCGGAGTCGGAGATGTTGACCGTGGACGGTCACTTGTTCCTAGTAGCTTCTTGTTACTACTAGTAAGGCACCTGTTACTACTAGCGTGGCACTTGT